TCTAAGAACTGTTGATTTTCAGATTATTCAGGTTTGCTTTTTGTTTTCGTTTTTTGTTTTGTTTTTGGTGAGGGCTGGACAATTTCCAAGCCCTTTGCATGCTGGACCAAAAACTTTATGTTTGTGCTATACATATTTAATGCATTGTTTAATCTCTCTTTCTCAAATTCCAGAACTATAGAAAAGCAATTAACTTAGTCACGTATATAAATGAGGTCCATATAACAAAGTCTGTGAATGGGCTAAATTTCATTAACATGGGAAGCATTATTATTATTTCCACACCTTTTCCTTTTATTTTAAAAACATGATCTCTTACTTTTAAAGAAATGTCCCTTTTCTATTACTTTTGATGTTTTCTTTCTTCTTGTATAAAATTTGAGTATTTTGAAGTTAAACCATGTGAAACTATGAACTTTTAAGAATGAAGCAGTTGTTCAGTTCATGGCTTTGCCCTGTCAGTGGTGATTAAAGAGCATAGCCCTAGCAGAAGAGCTGAGAACAGCTGGGGGCCAAGTAAAGTAATATTTTCCTCTCACCGATGCATTTCATACATTAGTTTTAATGAGCTTAATACTTAATGAAATGGATGAAGTATTTCTTATATCCTGAGGTGTCCACTCAAAGGATCCAAGTTAGTGCCAGTGATCCACCTTCAATGTCAAAGCCTCCTGGAGTTTCTGAATAGCTGCAGGAGAGGAACTTCTAATCAATTCCTTTCAAACCTTCACCTAGGCCACTTAAATATATGGATATTACTGCAGTAGCTGGTCTCTGATATCCCTCCTATTCTGAAATTTATTTTGTATTACCTCTTCATATCTGTCAAATGCTTTCCTTCAAAGAATATCTCTGAATTAATGCTGAGGAATTTGTCAAAAAAATCTTAAATTTAATTGGAAAATATTACAGAATTTGTAGTAGGTGACCTCATTATTTTTTCCTGTTTTGACTTAGTATGTTCTCTTTCAACTTTTCCTGAACCACATTAGAAGCAGTTATTTCATTTATCATATTTGAATACATACAACTTTATTACAGTATAAAGTTTATTATCATTTAGTATCTTGTATATTCCTTGATTCTCTATCATTTCTAAAATAAGCATAAAAATTGTTACTTGACAATATATAATGTTAACCATTTATATATTATTGTGCCTATGTTCAACAAAATTTAAAATATCCAGTAAGTTCATCCAGCAATTGATTTTTTTAGAAAGCTATTTCAAATAAAAAAACTATTACAGTGACATGAATTGGCTTTACAGTAAAATTTATTTAATCAAATGTGAAATTAGAAACAAATCACATTAGAATCAATTATTTTTCAAGAATATTAGCCATTTTGCTCTTTCAAAGTAACAGATTTTTAAGTTATTAAAAATAAATCTTTTGAGAGTTATCATGGAAAAACCCCTCATAAAAACAATGAATGTTATTTCCATTGCAAGAAAGAAATATACATTATAACTTTAGCCTTTCATGGACTTCCCATTAGTCATAGTGAATAAACGGCATTATGTGGAGTTCTTTAACAATAGTCTGAGTTTTTCCATTGGCACTATGCCTAAAGAAACACTTAGCACAGAATTATTCAATTTCATGTATTGGTGAATTATAAATATATGTTACCATTAAAACAACTCATGAACTTCTCAGAATTTTTAGTTGAACTAAGTAATGAGTTAGTGCAGCTGACCAGAATTAATTTGGAATAATGGTGTGGTCAAACAATGGGATTAGAAATGTAGACCATGTTAGAGAGTGTAATGCTCACGACTGGGATAGGGGTCATGATGGAATTTGGAGAAGTAGAGTGAGAACACAATGGAAGAAAATGGATTTGGAAAGAGCATATAAGATAGATTGAAAACTAAAAGGACTAATTGCAGAGAGAAATATAAATTGTAAATATAGTAAAAATAAGCACATTAATACATAAAATGCATAGATACTATAATTTAGGGGAAAACAGAAAGCATTGGGGTTACATATTCAAGTAAATTCTTTTTCTAAATTGAGTTTTTATTTTTCAGAAAAAGGCATTTAAAATGAAGATAATGAAGTCATTCCTTTTCAAATATTTTTGATATAACCATGATTTGTGCAGAAAAAAGCCCACCTTAGTTATATTCTATTCAGTGGTCCTGTTATCTGAGAATTAAATTGAAAACTTCTTTTAATTTTTAAGAAATGGAAAACAAATGCATGAATTTGAAGACTGAGCTGTGTAATTGAAGGGAAGACCTGGAATAGTCAACAGACCCAAATTCCTTTCATGTTGAATCTTAGCTTATTTCATTAAGTGAAGTATCAACATAAAAAGTGACTTCTGCTTGGCAAATATCTGCTCTCTTAAGATGTTCAATTTTATTACTGTAGTGAAATCTTACATTTTAGCTTTCCAAACTTCAGGAAAGTTTTTCGATTTTTACTTAAGTCTTTGAAAAATCTCTCTGTGTGTGTGTGTATGTGTGTGTGTGTATGTGTGTGTGTGTGTGTTTAAATTCTTTATTCTGTGACAGTTTAATTTCAAAGGAAAGACTCTTAGCATGTCAATGCGTAGCAGAACTTAAAAGTCCAAGAATATTGCCCAGGGGAAATTTATAATTTCAAATGATTTCTTTGGAGGTCTTAAGGAGAGAGGATCATATTACTCCTTCTCCTATTCCCCTGGTACAAGAAGCCACCTGTCACCTTGGATGAGATTCATGGATGGGGCTGGGAGATAGAGATCAGCAGCAGGAAGGGATACATCAGGGAAGAGGCTGCCAGCCTCTGCAATGTGAGCATATAGGGGGTGTCATGGGGGACTGTCATTCTGGGGAGCACATGATGTCAAGGGGAAATCTTGAATTATTTCATGAAGAGAAGTGTCAATATAAAAAGTGATTTTTGCTTGGCAAATAACTGCTCTTTCAAGATGTTCAATTTGATTATTATAGTGTTAAATTCTCATATTTCAGGTTTCCAAACTTTGGGTGAGTTTTTCAATTTTTACTTAGTCTTTGAAAAAATCTTGGTTTATTTTTGTTTTGATTAATTTCCATCAACAATTAGATTTCTCTCTTTATCTTAGACTTTTTATACTGGTAGGCATTGGCAGCATGCTTAATTTATAGCTCTGGAGATGATTCTTGTTACTGTTTCTAGAATGCCAATTTAATATCATCATATGTAATAGGATGAGTGGTATTATTTTGGATAAAATTTATAAGATAAATTACCTACATACAAATTTTGACACTAAGAAAAAAAGTGAAAAAGTTTGATTTTTTTTCAGTAGGTGAGAAGGTTATTGGAAAAAAACAGTATTACAATAGAACAAAATTTATATTGATATGTTTTTTTTCCTCTGGTTCTTTTTTCCCCATGTTAAAGAAAGGGTTTTGTGAATTATTGCTGAAGTACATTACAAGCCATATATAGGCAACATAATTCAATATTACATATACATTGTATATAGTTTTAGCAATCAACTGAGGAAATAACTAACTGGAATTAGAAATATAGAAATACCTTGGACTAAGGTTCTTGCTGAGTGGTAGAGCCTTTGCCTAGCATGCATGAGGCATGAAGCTATGCCTTTAATCCCTAGCACTGCAAAAAACAGATATAGATATAGATATAGAGAGATAGATATGTAGATATATCAAGATACATATATGTGTATGTGATATATGTCTTTATATGTGTGTATATATATCCATGCCCATACATACATATATATATATTAAAAAGTTACATACACATTACATATATGTATGTATAGTTACATACCCATAATGTGTGTATTTTTCAATCTTACTCTTTTCTTTATTGTTTATAGAACTTCTTGAAGAATGCTAAGAAGTAGCATTGATTTTTTTATGTTGTTATTCACTTTATTCTAAATTGCTTTCATTGTTAAAAAATCACTAGAACTTAATGTGGTTGTTAGTTTCAAAGCTAATTCCATTTATATTTCACTTTTTATGTATGAGATTTTTTTAATCCTTTCATTTTAGTGCTGAATATTGATGTTAGTTACTCCAGGAAGATTTTTTTTTCTACCTGTCAAATGTTAAATATTTTCTGCATATTACTTTGGTTTCTGAAATGACTTGTATGTTCTCATATGTACTTATTTTAAGGTTCCTCTTTTTCTACAGACTAACATAGGCAAAGTTCTTTAGCAATGACACATTTCAGTTTTATATCTCTTATAACTTTTTAGATGGTATATGGAAATTGGTATGACAAAATCCAAGATAATATAACACACATTACTCACTATGTAACCCACAATTTCTACAGAGAGAAAATACTGGACTCAATATGAAGCAAGAACAAAGGAGAGGCAGTTAGTGTAGATAGGGGATGAGGTGGAATCGGGAAGATGGAAGCTGATTTGGGTCTGGGGGGATGGAGGCTGCTTCTGCAGGACTGATTTCAGCTAATATCTCCAGAGCCCTTTTCCTTCCTCCTCCACCATTGCCAGGGTTGCCTGCTTACAGGACACTGTACTTCCCAAAATGTTGTTGAGCACCTCCCGGGTGGCCCCTTTCCTGCCTGTTTGAGCAGACACAGAGAGGCACCCCTGGAAGGTTTTGTTCGACCTTTTGGTTCATCTTTTGGTGCCTGGTCACATATGCAAGATAAAGGGAGAAGAATAACATAAGAGAAAAATCTTAAATATATTAAAGGAACATGACACTCCCACTTCTTTGGATACCTGAGTTGGGGCCCCTTCTCTGCAGAGAAGTCTATCTCTGTTCTGTCCTTTAAATAACACTTGTTTTCTACGCTTGCCTTGATGTTTCTCTGGTGTTCAATACTCATATCTGGAGAAATGGAACTCCGCCCTGATGGATTCCATCACCATTGGTATGAAGTGTATTAAGCTTTTCCTCTGACAGAGTTGTCATTCTTTCATTAATCAATTGGCTGGATGCCCCACTACCTTTAACAACCAGTCCTAAAGAGATGTTGTTTTACTTATTGTTATTACATTTTTAGGTGTATACCATTGAAGAATCGGGACTAAACATCCTTGTATGGTCAGCGATTGGAAATAAAAGAACTGGATGGATGTATGGACATGTACCTCTCTCTACTAACAGTCCCTTCAAAGTGGCATTTGAAGCTGATTTGGGTGGAAATGATAACATCTTCATTGCCCTTGATGACATCTCCTTCACCCCAGAGTGTGTGTCTGGAGGTAAGTGAGTCCTTCAGAAAATAGAATTATTCATCAATTCAGAGGAATTTATTTCCAAGTTACCTACTCATACAATGAAGAAGTAGATGTAGGAAGAGTTGAAGACTTTGGTCCAATGAACTGTACCATAAAATTTTCATGTCCTCTAGGCAACAAAATAACTTTGTACTAAAGTTTTGTGGAAAGCCTGAAATGTATTTCCACTAATATAGCTTTACTGTCTACTTCAGGTTCCCAAGTTCACCATCACTGACCAACACAAAGGCCCTTCAGGTTCTTTATAATCTTCTAGACTGTCTTCTCCATCCATATTGGCTTTTCCTCTGTCATAGGCCATTTCCTTCTTGCTGTTTCTACAACACAATCTAGAATACTCATTGTATTAGAAAAAATTCCAGTCATGAACACCTTTTTTGAGAAATCAACCCTCTGAAACCTGAATTTCTGCCACTTATGACATATCCACTTAAGTGGGGAAGTTTGACCTCTTATAAAGATTTCAATTTAAAACTGTTGAACAGTAGAGAGATTGTCATTCTAGTTATTCATTACTTATTTTTGAATTGTGTACTTATAGCCTTATTCAAAGTTTCTTTTCCTTTATGATCAGACATCTGAGTTCTTCACCTTCCCAGGGTTTTCCTTAGGCTTTCTTAAATCCTGGGCAATCTCGACTTCCACGTGACACAATCTGTATAAAACACTCCCCTCTTCAGTTCTAATCACCTTCATCGGTGTTTTCCTCAGCAGCCATTCTCATGGGAATATTCTCAATCTGATCATTCTCGACCTACTTGAGAATGGAATTGAGGTGTTCATCATTAGAGCTATGAACGAATGGAAGGAGATGTACATACAGCTTACATATTTCTCACTACTTCTGTCTTCCTTAAGAGCAAAAGGAACTTGTCTTTTAATCTCCTTTCTCTCCCTAGCTCTTCTTCATCCTGCTGATATTCTTGTACCCTTTGCATAGAAAATGGAGCCATTTTTGTAATTAACTCTTCCTTTTATTCTTTGTATCTCTAAATGTGAATTTTTCCCCCACCATTCGTCTCAGGAAACAACCCTTTACTACCCAACAGCAAATGTCTATTTTTGGACATTTCTTTTCCCAGCTAATCCCAGCTATTATATCATCAAAATCTTCTCTGGCTTTCTTCAATACATATGTGTAAGACAAGAGCTAAAAATAAGTGGAAGGAGATGTACACACAGTTTACATATCTCCCACTAATTCTGAGCTCCTTAAGAGTGAAAGGACCTTGTCTTATTTTGTCTCTAGAGCTAGGAAATTTGTCCTGAAAAGTTGCTATTATTCAAAGTAATTATAACAATCACACTTGATTATGTGAACAGCAACACTAACATCAACCTCAGTATAAATTGATCTTTCCCCCATATATTAAACAATAGAATTTACTGTAAAGATGATTAAAAAAAACACCACCACCACCAAGACCTTAGGTGTGAAATTATAAATGCCTTCTCTTTGTCACTTTATAACATAGATGTGCCTCTTCTCAGCCTCCCACTCTCATTCTAAATTGAGCATCTCAGGGCAGAGTTTCTATAGCAAGGTTGCATTGCTGATTCAGCCAACTGTTTTTAGAAAATCTTAAATCACACCAGTGGTTCTCAAAATGGGGTACAGAGACCCCAATAATGATGTTCCAGAGAGTATGAAATATCACTGAATAAATCTGATACAACTTCATTGGGTTTACTTGAAGAGTTGGGGAGAACACATAATGTGTTAAATGACATGTGAAGTAAGCTCACATGTGCTACAGACTGGAACACCAAAGGTAGAGGAAACAAATTGAGAGAAATGTTGGTGCTATAGCAGGAGCACGAATATCCTCATCCCTACTTTGTGATAGTATCATGGAAAATTCTGAGAAGTGGTAAATAGATACTTCATACTTTGAAAAATCATGTTATAAAATAGGCAATATTAACAACATCTGGGTGAATATGAAACACATAACCAACAGAAGACATAAACAATACAAGCACATATTACTAAATATAGAAAAATGGTAAAGAAAATATGAAGCCTATTTTAATAATCTCTCAAAAAAAATACCAGTCTATGAAGCCTGAAAAAACATATAAAATATAATAATATATGTCCCTGAGAAATGGAAATGTGAATGGTGTTTATTTTCTTCTTGGTGTTTTTCTTAATTTAATTTTATTTTTAAATGTTTACTTGGAACTGCACTGATTTTAATTGGGAAAAATAATAGTATTACTTTATAAAATGAAGCTATAAGGTCATAGTAAGTATAATTAAGAGCTACATGTTTTGAGCAATCCTTTATTTTTTTAAAGAGAGAGGAGAGAGAGGGAGAGAGAGAGAAAGAGAGAATATTTTTTAATATTTATTTTTCAGTTTTCAGTGGACAAAGCATCTTTATTTTATTTTATGTGGTGCTGCGGATGGAACCCAGCACCCTGCACAGGCCAGGCGAGCGAGTTACTGCTTGAGCCACATTCCCTGCCCAGCAATCATTTTTTTACATATTTTTATTTTTATTTATTTTTTGTGTTTCTGGGTATCTAATCCAGAGTGTATTAGGTGATATGGTTTAGTTTTTTTATTAGATGTCCTCTAAGAGCTCATAATGAGACACTGTAAGAACATTCAGCAGTGAAATAATTGGGTTATGAGAGCCTTAGCTCAATCAGAAAATTAATCCCCTCATGGGGATTAACTGAGTGGTAACTTGAAGGCAGGTGGGATGTGGCTAGAGGAGGTGGGGGCGTGGTCTTTGGGGTATGTATTTTGTATCTGTCTAGGGTAGTCTCTCTCTGCTTCCTGGCAATGTCCTGAGCTGCTTGCTTCCTTTCACCACAATCTTCTGCCAAAATGTTCAGAGTCACATGAACCTGGAGGAATGGGGCCTGCTATCTATTGACTGAGACCTCTGAAATAGTCCCCAAATAAACTTTTCCTCTTCTAATTGTGTTTGTCAGGTCTTTTGGTCATAGCAGTGAAAAAACTAACTACAACATTAGGAAAACACTCTACCTCTGAGCTACATCCCCAGACCAAAATCATTGTCTTAATCATTCCCTAAATGAAATTATGAGAATTAATATGGGAAGCCAATGCATGATGGGTTTATTTTGAATCCTATATTTTCTAATAGTTATTCCAACTAATAATTACCCATCTTTCTGAAGCTGTGAGAAGTGTGAAAATGGATTTCACTTAAGCTCTTTTTTACTTGTCAGGGTTTACAGCAGGCGCATCAAACCTTATAGACGATTCATCCTTCTAGTAGTTCAGGCATCTGATTGTTCTCTCACTAAGCTCGGATAAAATTCCTTATACTACGTAAGCATGAGACCTCTAGCACTAGTTTTACCTTGCCAGAAGGCAGCCAACAAACTCATTCAGAACTTTTGCAGACTTCAAGAAAGCAGAAATAAGGCTGTTATATATGCCTCAGAAACATTGGTTAAACTGACCTTGTCCGTGTTAGTACAAAGTAAAGAAAAAGTCATGTTCTAGTAATTCTAGATAAATGAAGCATTATTTTTGCATAAAATTTAAAATCGGTAAAATTTTAGCAAACTCTCCAAAATTTTTATTTTATGAATTGAAAATGCCCAGAATGGGAAACAGTTTTCCATTGAAATATAGGTGTAAAAAATTCTAACGTTCTGATAATACAGGACCTGTCAAAATGAATGTTTACTGAATAAAGCAAAAGAAGAAAGTATAAAAAGATTTTTTTCCAGTATTCCTTTGTGTGTGCTTATCATTCATCCCTATGGAAACGTGGGCATTTCTATACCATCAAAACTACTTTCTTTGTCCATCTTTCCTTAGTTAACTTAGTCAAGACATGTTATTTTCACAGAGTCTGTTTTCTTTATGTTAGTTTCCAAGGATGGAAGATATTTTCTATTTTTCTTCTGTCATTTAAAATAAAGAATAACACATTTGTCCCCAGGATAAAGAAGCATTTCACAGGTTGGTAGGATATTGGATCTTTTAAAACTATGTGGGAGGTTTTCAAGTATTCAAAGCAACAGTGGGTTTTAAACACTTAAAACAGATTTATCCAGTTTGGACTAATATGGAGGGAGGTGAATACCAAAAGATATAAGTGCAGTGTGAACCACAGGTTGGACTCAGTTTATTTCCACTTAGAATTTGCTCTTCTGGTGCACTGAATGAGGTGTTCCCTCAAAACTCTGTCTGTGTCTGTCAGCTTTCTGTCACTATGACTAAAATATCTGACAAACAACTTAAAATAGGAAAGATGTATTTTGGCTCAAGATTTCAGAGGTTTCAGTCCTTACTTGGCTGGCTCCTTGCTTTGGGCCTTAGGTGAGATAGAACATCATGGTGGAATGGTGTGAAAGAGAAAAGTTACTCATCCAATGGCCAGGGAGCAGATGCTTTTATAAGAAGAGAAGTGATACAGAGAAAGATATAGAGAGCCCCACATGATGAAGGAGGCAGAAATTAACTTAATGCATCTACAAGCCATGGATGCTCAGCAAAACAGGAACTAGAGAAAGGAATGGACCAATTCCTCCTATGGGCCTTCAGAGAGAGCATGGTCTTGATGAGGCCTTGAATTCCACCTTCTGGCTACTACACCTATTGTATAATAAGCCTTTGTTGTTATAAGCCATTCAGTTTCGGTGTTTTGCTACCCTTGCCCCAGGATGGTAGTATAACTGGTAACACGGAGGTTTACCTTTTAATCAAGAACCAGGCTTAAATCTTCCTTCACATCAACCTTCCATGCATTTGACCCAATTTTTCTCATTCATGAAATGATTATTGTCAGGATTTAGGAATAGAATATGCCTTTCTTAAACAAGTTGCATAACTAGTTGCAATGGTTGCAATGAGTAATCATTTTTGAAAAACCTAAAAATAATTCTTATATGACCTAACACTTTTAGTCTTCCACAGATTAGCAACCTTATTGAAATATGCTGAATGTGATGCTTCCTTACATAAATACAGT